GCATCTTAGAGACAAAAATAGGGTTTGTTTTATATTTAAGTATCTTCAATCGCGTCGACACAAAGATTTGTAACCTTCGTATCTCCGGATAGAAGACACTTAAATAAGGGCAGCTGTTGTACCCCAATTTTTACCCTTAAGATACCCCTATCATATCATGTCAACTTGATCATAACAAGATCACATTAGGGTTGGTTCTTCCTCTTTTCTCCTATCTTTAAGTTTGCTCTTGAGGAATCTCCAAGCACCTTGGTTGTGTATTTTGTATATGTGTTGTTGACTAACTTCTAATCAAAATACAAAAAAATATTTGTCTTTGTCTTTGTATATTTTTGTTTTGTAGGTACCAAGTCGAAGCATCTGACAAATAAGGATTTCTGGTATTATTTTCCTAAAATCTCTATTTGCAAAGAAAAAGAATTAAAAAATTTCATTTTTTCACTGATGCAATCGATTGCTCTTAAAGTGCAATCGATTGCACATAGTGTATTTTGCGCCATTTTTGAAAAAAATACACTGTGCAATCGATTTGCACTGTAGTGCAATCGATTGCACAGCGTGAAAATTAAAAAAAAAATCAGCATTTTAAACTTGTCAAATTTTGGCTCCAATTTTCCTTCACTTTTGAAAGATGTATCATTAATTCAAATTTTAGTGCCAATCTTTCATTTTAAAAAAGAATTATCATTAATTCAAATTTTGGCTCTAATATTTGAAAGAATTATCATTAATTCAAATTTTAGCTCTAATTTTTGAAAGAGTTATCATTAATTCAAATTTTGGCTCCAAGAATCAATTACCAAATTACCACTAATCCCAATCCTAAAACTCTATAAATAGAGCTCTCATTTCATTCAAATTTCAAGCTTTTGATAGCCAAATCCACCTTGCTAAAAAATCTCTCAATTCTCTCCATCTACCAAATTCACTCAAAGCTCCATTTTTAAAAAGTTAGTAAGCTTTGCATTGAAGCTTACTAATCTTTGAGCTAAACCTTCATCCAAACACTTTTTCTCCATCAATTCTCTACATCCAAGCTTGGTCAATTGATTCTTGTGGTTGAATTGAAGCAAATTCTTGAAGTTGTTTTGATAATTCTCTAGATCTACCTTTGGTAAGTTGGATAATTCATCTTTCACAATGTGATCTCTTGGTGGTATTTGGGATTGATTCTTTGAGCATTATTTTGTGATTTCGATGGTGTTATTTTCTCATAATTTGATGGAATTTTCGTGCTCAAGTGGATCCATGATCATAAGGTGTTTGATGGAAAGTTTGAACAAGAAATTGCCCTTTTAAAATGCTGTTTTTGCTATTGTTACTGTGTGCAATCGATTTGCACTAAGTGTAAATCGATTGCACAAAAGCAATTTCATGCGAATTTTTGAAAACGTTACTGTGTAAATCGATTTACATAGTAGTGTAAATCGATTTACACCAGGAGAGAATGCATTTTTTGTCTTGTTTTGGGGCAGCTTTGATCCAAAATGCTTTTTCTACTCACTCCTTTTGATTGTTGGTTTGGATTGCAATTTTAAATATCCAATTTGTCTTTAAACTCAATGGACTTTGTGGTGTAGATGAAGTTGGATAAATGTTCATCAATTCAAATCTACCTAAGAGTAAATTATTTAATTCATTTTTGGTGCTTTGGATTAATGATATGTTTAGTGCTTTAATCCATTTAGAGGAGTGGTTGAATTTAAAGATGAAAGAATTTTGAAATGGTGATCCAAATTAGCTTATCATTTCCCTCCCTCTTCATCTTATCCATTTCTTTTTTAATTGTGCTACATGTTAAGGGATGGTGATCTCTATATCATTTATCCAAACATGAAGTACATAGATTTTTATTGACCGGCCTCAAAATAGGTGTGACTTCTACATAAGTCCACTTACGATTGCTTAACATAGCGCTAAATTTTGTCCCGATTCGAATAAATGATCATTCGTGGCCCAAACTTATGATTGCAAGCCCAAGTATGTTAATTTGATCTCTTTGATCCAATAACCTTGAGATTCATTGTGTGGAGGCTTTGGTTCTACCAATCCTCTAATGGATCTACAACACCTTTGGTCAACGCGGATCACTTAAACATCGTTGATCATTACATGTTGCCTTGTGAGAATTCCAAAATGGATGATATACTTGACAAAAAGCAAATGCAACTTGTTGTGTGGAGGCTTTGGTTTTACCAATCCTCTAATGAGTTCCAAATGCAAGTTTCAAGATGGTCATCCAACTAACCACTAATTACTAACAATTAACTTTACTTTACGCTTTTATTTTCATGCTTTATGTACCATTTACTTTTAGCATTTTACATTTCATGCTATTTTATTCTTTGCACACTTGAGCATTTACTTTTATGTCATTTTTATTTTGCTCACTTGAGCTTTTCTTTCTTTTTAAAGACACCTAATAATCAACAGGAACCATAAAAATCATTAATGATACTTGGACTACATGGTTACTATCCTTTGCATTATGGAGTGATGGACTTCTTGGACTTAGGATTAGAGACCTTGGCCTATCTTGGAGACTTTGTGACTTTATTTGATATTTTGTCTGGAGTTCTTGAGGTTTACCTCAAGACATTGGGTTGTTTGTTTGTTTTGTGTGCAGGTTATTGAGATTATGATCTTTGTTTGTAATCTGGAATTCATCCGCATACAGTCGTTACTCTGCCCATTTTTTTCGAAGACTTAATGCACTTGAAGTTTAGTTCTCTCAAGAGGTCTAGTATCTTTGCTTGCTTGGTTTCACTCCAAAGAATGAGAATTCTACATTGACTCATAATGTCAAGTATTGGCTTCTTGTTGGTTAGATGGTTCTTATCCCTAACTTTTACCTTATGCTTTAGGATAGCCTCTTCTTCTCCTCCCATCTTCTTTAATTTCAAAAATCTTCTCCCTCCTTAAAAAAAAAATCTCTTCTTGTTTTGAAACTTGAAACATTTTCATAATAAACTTGGACTTAGGTCCATACATCTTCGAAACATTTTCATAAATAAATTTCAATCAATTTAATAATACCTTGACCTTTTTTTTGTGAGAAGACTAAAAGTCAATCAATCTCATTTCAAACCATTTTGCCACTTTGGCTTTTATCTTTAAACTTTTCTCAAAAGATTAGACTCTTGCCAATCCTTGTAGTGATGCAAACAACTATACTTCTACAATATGTAGTGAAGTGAGATATTTTCCACTTGGGTGTTGAGTGAGGCATTGTTGATTTTAAAATCCAAGCCATATCCTCCACTTTGAGATGATGCAAATTCTCCTTTATCATGATTGTGGGTAGTAAGTATGTTTTTTTTCACACGGACAATTGCGATGATGTCTTATCTCATAAAATCAACCAACACACTTGTGTTTCAAATTTTTAAAAGATGAACTACGTGTACCCTGATCCCCTATTGCACGAAAGGTGGTACGTAGGCACTAAAGGTTCGCAACCGCGGCGGGTGCAAAAATCATAAAAATATTTCTTTTCTCACCTCCACCATCCATTTTTATATAACACATTTTTATAGCCAAAATATACAGATTTTTCAAAGAGGTTCATGCGGAGTACCGTAGATGTTTAGGGTGTTAATACCTTCCCTTTGCATAACCAACCCCCTTACCTTGAATCTTTTCCCCTCTTTTTGGGTTATTCGCTCTTTTCTCATTTCTTTGGAAACAATAAAGCGCGGTGGCGATTTTTATTTTGATTTGTATAAAGTCTAGTCAATCCAATGGCTTAGTCTTGCACATTTCTACCGCTACAACGACTCTTGCTAAACCGAAACATTTGCGAACACAAACGCAAAACCTCAAGTCAGTTCTTCCACCGTATCACAGACACCAACATATAAACATACTTCGACGACATACAAAAATCCCGTCAAACCAAAAATTACTCTTCAACCCAATAGAGTTCGATCCAATATCTCACGATAACTCTTTTACAAATACATAACTCTTTTACAAATACATATCTCTTATTTCAAAAGTATTTTACATTGTTGTAATAAAAAAATATTTATTACATTGTGTTGTATTTCTATTGTTTCAACTAAAAAAACTCTTACTATTATTTAACTTTATAAATTTAAAGGATAGGTACTATGTAGTGTTAATATGAATCTTTTTGTTTTAATTAAAAAAGTTATAATATTATATTATTTTATTTTAAAAAAGTAAAAATATCTTTTTAAAAAATAAATAAATTAAAATGTAATTTAAATAATTTTTTATAAAATATTAATTTAAGTAGTTCACCTTTTACTATAACTTTTTTAGATATTAAAACTTTTAAAAATTAGTTGAATTTTAAATTTATTTTGAATAACTTTTTCTTAAAAAAATATTTTTAAGATATACCTTTTTGAAAAATTGCGTGACTTTGATTATATTTTAATTTTTAATATTATATATTTATGTTTTCTAATGTCAAAATTAAATTTTTATTTATAAAGAATAAATTTAAAATAACTTTTACTATTTTAAAAAAATATATGAAATTTATTTATGAAAACTAAAAGAAAAACAATTCTTTAAAGTTAGAACAAACGATATGGTTTAAAATGGATTTACACTTATCTTCATTAACTAAACCATAAATATAATTACCAAATTTTATTTCATGTAATATAAATATAATATCTACTTTCCTCTTTAATGTTGTATGCAATTAATAAATATTATTCCTTTGAAAATCACATTTCATAAGTGACCCATAAACGTTATCCTCAATTTCACTAATTTCTCGCAAAATCATTGTTCAATACAAACAAGGTACATTTTGTTTCCCTATCTCTAACGTTGTTATTGTTTGTCTGATTCTGAATATATTCTTCGATGTTTCCCATGTTTTCCCTCAAGTTTCAATTTTGAACACAGTTTTGAATTTTGATGTTATTTAAATCCCAAATTCAACCACCCTTTTGCAAGTTGTTTAACTTGATTCCGTTTTTTGTTGTTGTTCAATTTGAATCTTTGTAGATAAAATATTAATGGTGGTGAGGTTTAGCCCTTTTTCTCTGAAACTGTCTCAACAGCCTCATAATCATCAATCTTCATGTTTCTCTAAACAAGTAGCTGTTAGCTGTAGCTATGGAATGAAAAGGTTTGACATTAGAAGGCCACAGATATTGTCTTCTGCTTTGGGAAACTCTGATGGGTTGCGTGTGTTTGTGGTTTCTGATTTGCATACTGATTATGATGAGAATTTGAAGTGGGTGGAGCGTTTGTCAACTGTGAAATATAAGGATGATGTGCTCCTTGTGGCTGGTGATGTTGCTGAGACATATAGAATGTTTTTTGTTACAATGTCTCTTCTGAGAGAGAGATTTGAACATGTTTTTTATGTTCCTGGAAATCATGATCTTTGGTGTCGTCGCGAGGGGCAGAATTATGTAAGGTCATTGTACCCTTATCATGATGTCCATATTCATGCATTATGCCGATTATTTGACACTAACATAGTTTTTAGCTCTGTAGCACCGACACCTCTCTGGGTCCGAAACGGACATTCACACTTGTGATTACGTTTAATTTATTCATTTTTTCAAATTATTACGAATGTTGATGTGTCAGTGTCGGTGTCCTGTTTCCAGTGCCCGTGCCTCATAGGTTTTTAGGCATAAAACTAGAGTAAACCCTCAATTCGGTCCCGTAAAGATCACAATATCGTCAAGGTTTTAAATGTTTCGCGACCTGCTGACTGTGATCTGGTCCGCAACATCAAGGTGTTGATGTTTGCTTGACCACAGGGAAACTACGATTACGGTTTTATAAGTTTTCCTGGAGAGATTATGGAAATGAGCTAAAAATAGCTTATGAGCATATCATGATCTATTTCCATAAGCTCACCCAAACAGTTTCAAAAGTGCTTATACTAGTAGATATACTCAAATAAGTCAATCCAAGCTGACTCGATATTAAAACCAGACTTACTGCCATCCTCGTTCCCAAAATTTTTGTTGCAATACTTTTTTGATTGTTTTTCTTGATTCTTCTCCAGGTTGATTCGGTTGAGAAGTTTAACAAATTGCTTGATGCATGTAAGAGAATCGGAGTCGAGACAAATCCAATGGTTGTTGGTGCATTAGGGATCATTCCTTTGTTCTCTTGGTACCATGAGGTGATTATTTATGTAGTGTTAGTTTCTAGCTCCTTAATCTTTCATATTATGTGTTGAATTCGATGCGAAGTGTTTCTTCAAAGCATTTTGTTTAATTCTTCAATCTACTTGTTTGACAGAGCTTTGATAAAGAGGAGGACATAACAGGCTATCGCATCCCGTCTTTGGAGATGGTGACTATTCTCTTATCCCCTAGTAAGCGATTCAAAAATCGTCGATTGATGGTCTGATCATGCACTTAGTTTCCCATGGTGCTTGATTAGGGACTATCTGCATTGCATATAAACTTTATGCTAATTTCTGTTTTGGTTAATATATGTATGATTTGAACAGCAGGAGTATTGTCAATCGTGTAATTAGTAAGCAAAATACAAAGATCTAAATTTTTTTCCTACTATTTGTTAAAATACCATATGCTTGTGATGGTTTGGTAATTATTGTGCACCAATATGCTGAAGTAGTTATGACTGTTTTCAAGACCGTCTTTGAGGGCGTGCAAGACGGGGGTTACTGCCCAGTGCCTAAAATTAATCACAGTAAAACCATAGCTAAATAAGGTCTCTTAAAATGTTGTCACGGTTAAGTCGTGGTTAAATATGATCAGAATTTTTTTTTTCATAGTTTAACTGCGGCTAACCTACGCAAGGTCTCCAAAAACTTTAGACGACTCTGAGTGTCTTAACTCATAAGCCTTAACCTAAGTAACAACTTAATTTGTTGATCCTTGACTTGTGATTGAAGCTTCTATACAAGGTTAATTTTTCTTTATTAAGAGTCCTATACTTTATGAGATAAGGTTAATGAGTTTATAAATGAGAGACATTCTTCATCTTACAAGTTTGTTTCGTAAGATTGAGTTAGATCCAATTTAAATTCTAAAATAGTTTCGAAGTGTATCCAAGATCTCTTGGGACACCTGCTTTTGGACTCGGATCACACTCCATATGTCCAGTCCTATACACGAGGATTATGTGTTACTTTAGAGTCCCACATTATATGAAACATGGTCTAGAAAAGAGCTTATAAGTAGGAAATATTCCGCTTATTATCTTACAAGTCAGTTTTGTAAGATTTAAGTTAGATTCATTCTAACTCAAATTATAAGAAATCTCCTGTATTTAATTTAGTTTCATGAGTTCTCTCACATATCTTTGTTATTTTCTTCGTTTCCAAACACCTATGGTATCAGTTTTTTTCCGTTCTTATATTTATTTTTTCCTTAGGCATGTAAGGACTTCTATGCATGTAACTGGCCCAATGGACTTTCAAATGGAGATACCTCTCTCTCTTTATATTTTGATGCCCTCAATAACAAACAAATGGAAAGTATAAAGGAGATTCAAAAGACATGTGATCACATCATTACCTTTTCCCACTTTGTTCCAAGGTGATTGAATAATCTGTTGGTAGAATCGCAGCTATTTTGTCAGTTCCTACTTTGTTCTGGTTATGGCTTATCTTTACTAGCATGTTTGTTCACAGGCAAGAACTTTGTCCGGAAAAGAGGATGTTATTCTATCCCAAGCTTCCGAAAATAATTGGTTCAGACCCTCTTGAAGATAGAATAAGGTCTATACATGGTGCTCAGGGAAGAGAGGATGCATCTTCTTGCCATGTTTTTGGTCATACTCACTTCTGCTGGGATGCTGTTGTAGATGGCATAAGGTGTTTTTCATTTTTATCTATTATTGATATCATTATTGTTGTTTGTTTCAAAAACTATGGAATCCTTCATTATATGTTATGCTGTGTGTTCCCTCAACTATCTCTTAAATTTTTCTTTTGTTGATCTGAATATTTGTTTATAAGTTTCGAGAGATATCTCACTTTACAAACCAATTTTAAAGTGTTTAGTTCAAGGAAACACGGATACTTCTAAGGTACTTCTAAGAGTAGACATGTTGTAGTGTCCGACACTTCATGATATTTGTATGACACGTATTAGAAAAATCAATTAAAAAAGTCAAACAAATGTCGTTTACTTTTATTTCTTTGCTTCGACATTATTTTGGTGTTCACACGCGTTAGTGTCCAAACACTTATATGATACTTGTACGACACATTTTAAAAGTCAGAAATGTCAGACAAGTGCTAAAAAAAAATGATGTTATAAAAAATTGATTTTTTTCTTTGCTCAACACTATTTGGGTCAATTGATTTTAAAGAATTCAGTTCTATGAAACACTAACACAAGTAGATAGATACCTCTAGAAGTAGATATCTAGAGGTAGAAGTAGATATGTTGGATCAAATTGATTTTAAAGAATTGAATTCTATGGACACCTCTAGAAGTAGTAGATAGATACCTGTAGAAGTAGATATGTTGGATCAATTGATTTTAAGGGTTCAGTTCAATAAAACACAGACAAGTAGATATGTTGCAGTATCTGACTCTTGTATGATGTTAGAAAAGTAAGAGTTGACATTTTGTGATATCTGACAGGTGTCTGTCAGACACTTATATCTTCGTATTTTCATTTGGTGTTGACATAATTGCAGGTATGTACAAGCACCCTTAGCTTACCCAAGAGAAAGGAAGAGAAGAATGAATGGAGGAAACAAATGGCTGCCATTTTGCCTTTATGCTGACAAAAAGTTTTCTAATAAACTCAATCCTTGCTTTTGGTCTGATTATTACTCTGTCATTCCTAGAACACCTCATAACACTAAACTTGCTCCTTGGGTAGCCAGATTTTACAAGCATAAAAAAATCATAGATGTATAGTTGTTTGAATAAATAACATTCATTCTTTACTAAGTTGAAAGTTGTACTCAAATGAATTACTGAAACTTTCAAAAGGTTGCATTTTCTTATGTTTTGCACACTTGTATTAGTTAATGGCAATTGTCTCATTTTATTCAATATCTGAAGCACACAATACAACACAGTTACACAGTTACACATACCCTGAGACCTTCAAAAACAGTAGGAATATTAAAATACATAATAGGAAACAGAAAAGTGGTAAAAACAAATTGATACAATACAAACATGCCCTTATAACACACACATACATTGATTGATAGACAAAAGTGATTATGACTAGTAATCTTCAGCAGCAAGAGGCTGGTGTGCATGAGGTGGTTCTGTTGGGATCACAACATATTCATATATGAGTGATGCTAATGCTGCACCAATGAATGGACCAACCCAGAAGATCCAATGAGAGTGCCATCTCCAGCCTACCAAAGAAGGGCCAAAAGCGAGAGCAGGGTTCATGCAGGCTCCGTCAAATGGCCCGCCGACGAGGATGTTTGCACCAACAATGAGCCCAATTGCTAAAGGTGCAATGGCTGCAATGTTGCCTCTTTTTGGATCAATTGCTGTTGCATATACTGTGTACATTAGCCCAAATGTCATGATGATCTCAAGCAGAAGACCATGTCCTTCGCCTAGACCCACTCCTACATGAAACCCTGCTGGTCTCTATAATCAGCAACAACCACAACACTATGTCAAATTTTATCTAAATTCAAATAAGTCAATTCAACCAGACTTCACCAAGATGATGAAAATGTTTACCATGTTATTAGTGACAAGCCTAAGCAAGAGTGCAGCAACAATAGCACCTAAAAGTTGAGCAACCCAATAGTAAACCGCCCGAATGACAGAGATTCTGCCACCAATAAGAGCACCAAATGTGACTGCAGGATTCACATGTCCACCAGATACATGCATGCTAGAAGACACAGCAGCAAATAGAGCAAATGCATGAGCAAGTGCAACTGCCAACAACTCACCAGCTGAGAAAGCTGAATCTTGGTATATCTTAACTGCAACAAACAACATAACATTCAAACTATAACAATTTTTCTCAAGTATGCAACAAGGTTATATTTTGAGTATATACAAACCTAAAGCAAGTCCAGAGCCTTCTCCAGCAAAAACAAAGATGAAAGTGGAAGCAAATTCAGCTAGGGTAGCTCTAAGAGAATCTGGATGAGTAGCCTCATCAGCTCTTCCAAAACCATACCTACGAGTTGACATCTGTACCTCAAACAACAAATAAATGTCCTTTGATGTTCTTTGAACTTTGAATGTAACTTGACAAAGGGTTCTTAGCTTGGTTGAAAAGTATATAGTGGCAGTGGTTATATGATGAGAATATGAGTAGGAGTTTGGTGAGACACATGGATTTGTGAGATGCTAAAATATGGGCACGTAGTCATATGTGTGGCTTTCTCAGCATAAATTGAGTTGGTGTTTGATTCATATACATACATATCTCTATGACCTATTTTTGTGTTTTTATCTTATATAGCTTAATGTTCATCTTCATTTTTTTGGACAAGGACAAAAACCAATGTGTTCTTTAGGCGGTTGCTGTTTCTAGTAATTTTTTATTATCATCAGTATTGATGTTTGCGTAATTTTTTATATTAGTACTTAATAACTGAATTAAATTAATATTTAAATTAAGATCTAAAATGATTAATTAAGAAATATATTTGAGGATCAAAATAATTAACTAAAGAGATAGTCCATGATAAATTTGTAATTTTAAATATTTTTCCAACTTCGAGGTTTACTTTAGTTCTTTAATTTAAAAATAATTTATATTGATTTTTTAATTTTTAAAATATTTTATTTTAATTCTTTTGTTAATTAATAAGGGAAAAATTTAGAAATAAGTTGTTAAATTCGTCGTTAATTAGATAAAAAGAAATAAAATAAAATATTTTAAAAATTAAAAGAATAATATGAATTTTTTTAAATTAAGAGACTAAAGTAAACTTTAAAATTAACATAAAAGATTTAAAAAGTATTTTATTCAAATTTAATAATCGGTAAAAATAAATTGAGTCGAGTTAAACTTTATCAAATCTAAGTTTAGTTTATTAAAAAATTTAAAATTAAGTTGACCCTCTAATTTATCATATGTTTAATTTTATGTCTAACTCTAGCTTTTTCGAAGATTTAATTGACGCACTAATCTATTACTTTATTTGAATATGTATAAATAAAAAATTCAATTATATTAAATAGACTAATAAATTTAAGGGTTAATACCTATTTTCACCCCTGACATATGGGGTGTATTTGAAAAATCCCCCTGTCAAAAAAAAAAGTTCCAATTGTTACCTTGACAAATTTTAAAAGTTTCAGTTTTTACCTTGAGGATGCCACATCACCTAAAAGGCTGATGTGCTTATATTTTTGTTACATTTGTAAGTTTTTGTTATGCCATGTCACACAATACCAAATAAAATGTCCAGAATGCCCTCTTCTTAAAATCTCAAATTATTTGGCAAATGTTATTTTACAAAAAAAGCCAGTTTCAATTCAGACCCTGCGATTAGGGTTCTTCATCCTTGCAAATGGGTGTGTTTAATTTAGTGTTTCATCATGGGGGAAGTTTCGTGCAAGACGGCCATACGTATTATAGAGGAGGTAGTGAGACTACTGTTGAAGGTCAGGACAAAGATAAATGGAGCTTTTTTGAAGCTGTTAGTCTGGTTAAAGATTGAGGTTATGAAGGTTTTAGGCTATGGAGAAAGATTCCGCAAACGGATGAAGGGTTTACAAATGTTGTTGATGATGCAGGAGCTGTAGAAGTTGCTAAGCATTGTATGTCTTGTAGGGTTCACGGCGATCTTTGGGTAGAGCACGGTGTAGAAGACATGATGACCAAGGTTCTGGTACCTAATGTTGATGACTTCAGCACCTCTAGTGGAGATGATAGTACTGGTGACTATGTTGATGCAAGCCAATGTTTCAATGACAGTGAAGAGGAAAGAGTAATTGACGTAGAAGAAGAGCAATTTGTACAAGTGGAGGTAGCTGTTCCAGTTAGTGGGAATAGGGTGGAGATCGAAGGGAAATCATTGAGATTCAAGCGTTGTGCATCGAAGGATCTCAAAAAGATGAAAGAAAAGAGCAAAAGGGACAAGGTCAGTCTTTTGGTGCCCAAAAGTGTCTTAGGATCTTGTTCAAAGAGGGCTACAAGGAAATGTGAAGATGTGGATTATGCTAGTGAGGAACTTGAAAGTTCAGATGCTGATGAAAGTGACATGGATGACAAACCTTCCAAGCCAAAGTATGAGAAGTTCAGATCAGAGCTGCTTAACAAAGACTTTCAATTCAAATTAGGTATGGAGTTCATTTCTCTTTCTGAATTTAAAGATGCTATCAGGGATTGGTCAGTATTAAATGGTAGAGAAATAAGATTTGTTAAGAATGAGAGCTGTAGGGTTAGGGTTGAGTGTAAGAGTAAATGTGGGTTTTTGGCATTGTGTAGCAAAGTGGGAGGTAGCCTCACTTACCAGATAAAGACTTGGGTGGGGACCCACACATGTGCAAGGGTATTAAATAACACGTCTGCCAATTCCAAGTGGGTCTCTAAGTTAGTGGTTGAAAAGAGGAAGTCACAAGGGAAAGTTAAACTGTCTGAAATTATGTCTGAGCTTAGACAGAAATATTCAGTGGGCATTACCAAAGGGAAAGCTTGGAGAGCCAAAGCTATGGCTGAAGAAATAATTGAAGGTGATGCAAAGGAACAATATAACATGTTATGGAGATATGCAGCTGAGTTGAGAAAACATTGTGTTGGGAACACTGTCAAACTAAATACTGAGAGACCACATCCAACACTACCACTAAGATTTGGTAGATTTTACTTCTGTTTTGATGGATGCAAGAAAGGGTTTACCAAGGGTTGTAGACCATTTATAGGGGTAGATGGGTGTCATCTTAAGACACAATATGGAGGTCAGTTGTTAATTGCTGTAGCAAGGGACCCGAATGACCAATATTATCCTTTGGCATTTGGTGTGGTGGAGACTGAGACAAAAGAAAGCTGGAGATGATTTATGCAATTGCTAATGAAAGACATTGGAGAAGAGAGAAAGTATGTTTTTATTTCAGACCAACAAAAGGTACAAGTATGCACTAATTACCTTTGTTATTCACATTTATGAAACATGCACTAATTCTGCACTAATATGCACTAATTCTGCTACTGTAGTATGTCTTAATTCTGCTACTGTAGTATGTCTTAATTCTGGTACTGAAGTATGTCTAATTCTGCACTAATATGCACTATTACCTTTGTGACATAGTTCTGGTTTATACAAAGTGCACTAATTCTGGTTTATTTGCATAGTTCTGGTTTAGTTGCATATTTCTGGTTAAGTTGCTAATGTACATGCTTTTTTCTGTTGTCTTGCTGTTTTTAGGGTCTTGTTAGTGTCTTTGAGGAAATGCATCAGCAAGTTGAACACAGGGTCTGCCTCAGACACCTGTATGCAAATTTCAAGAAGAAATTTGGAGGGGGAGCTGCCATTAGAGACCTGTTATTGGGGGCTGCAAAGGCTACTTACTTCCAGGCTTGGGAGAAGAAGATGAATCAGCTTAAACAAATTGATAAGAAGGCATGGGAATGGCTGATGGGAGTGCCAACAAAACTATGGTGTAAGCATTCATTTTCATTTTACCCTAAGTGTGCTGTTTTGATGAATAACTTGAGTGAATCTTTCAATAGTACAATATTACAAGCTAGGGATAAGCCAATACTCACTATGGTAGAATGGATTAGGAACTACGTGATGAATAGGATTGCTAATAGTGTTGTTAAGCTTGATAAGTGGAAGCACAATGTCATGCCTAATCCTAGGAAAAGGCTTGATAAGGAAACATATCTTAGTGGAGAATGGCTGCCTACATGGAGCAGTGGTGATTTGTGGCAAGTCCATCTCCCATATAATGGATTGCAGTTTGTTGTTGATATTGGGAAAAAAACCTGTACTTGTTGTTTTTGGGATCTTGTGGGCATACCTTGTAGGCATGTTGTTTCTGCATTACAGTATCAAAACTTAGATCCTGAGAAATATGTTGACCCTTGTTACATGAGAGAAGCTTACAGGGCATGTTATGAAAACAACGTTAGTCTAATAAATGGCATGGACATGTGGCCAACTGTGGATGCTGAAGAATTGTTGCCACCACAATACAAGAAGGGACCTGGAAGGCCTAAGAAACTGAGGTTTAGAGAGTTGGATGAGAATGGTTCAAGGATGAGGAGGGTAGGTGTAGCATATAGATGCACGCATTGTGACAAATTTGGCCATAATTCTAGGAAGTGTCAAGCTAAGGAGCAAGATCCTAATGCACTAAAGAGAAAGGTATTGTGTTCATGAATCTGTTACTGAATAATATTGTGTTCAGCATATTGAAATGTCTTTATTTATATCTGTTTCTGAATAATGCAGAGAAAGACACCCAGGACCAAAGTGTCAAAAAAATCTGATGGGATTGTGGATGAAGGCCCAGAGATGGATGCAAATGTTGATACAATTGAAACTGGAGGTGGAACTGTGGATGAAGGCCCAGAGATGGATGCATTGCTGAATAATATGATGGATCTTTATGAAGAACAACAATCACAAGTTGACAATCCCACACAACCTACTGCTATGCAACCTCCCCCAACACATGAATCACAACCTGCTGCAATGCAACCTCCCCTAACACATGATTCACAACCTGCTGCAATGCAACCTGACCCTGCTGCTACTAATGTCAAAAAACCTTCAGCTAGGAAAAAGGTCGTGGCCGTGCCTTGGAAGCGATCAAGAAAGAGAGTCAGTGAAAGATTGAAGGAAGTGAGGAATGCCAAAAGACATGGTGGGCCTGGATCAATACCTGATGCACCTTTGACCATAGGTGAAGAAACTGGTGGTAGTACCTCAAAGAAGATATCAAGGAAGAAGAGGAAGGGCATTGATCAGTAGTTGTGCACATAGTGTGCTATTTTGTAAAATTCAATTTGAAAGTTTCCTGTGTCATTTTGTTACTTTGACTTATTATCAGAACATGCTTGGCTTAAGTTATGTATCATGTTATTGTCATTTTGTATCACAGATGTACTTGACTATGTATCACAACAGATTTGCTTGACAATGTTAAAGTCATTTTGTATCACAGATGTACTTGACTATGTATCACAACAGATTGGCTTAACTATGTTATTGTCATTTTGTACAACAGAT